AATTGGGCTTTAGTCCTCTAAGTAGCCTACTGCAGCTGATGATAGTTTCGTCGCAAGGCGCGAAAACAGGAACACTCGCCCTGGTCAGGCGGGAAACTATGCACAAAATTCTAGATGGAGTGAATACTGTCGAGTTATAATCGTAAGCTTAACACAAATCCTGAGCCAAACTCTAATCATATCTTTAAGTTTAAACTCCTCTTTAGCCCTTATGTTAACCTTAATCCTAATCTTCACCCTAAACCTAACCACGTATGTACCCTATATAGTTAATAACGTTAATTTTCCTTTGCAGACCTACTTACAGATTTACGTCTGACTCGGAGGACGATGACTTCCCGTTAAAATAGGCCGAGATAGCCGGCTGATTGGTTAACAAAAATACTACAGTAAGCCTAATGTTCACCTATACTTTGGAGGCCTAGTACAGCAGCTAATCTGCCACATGTGTTGTTATCCTTTTCTAGTAGGCCGAAGCTCATAAGGACCCCGAATCTGCTGGGCAGTCAGGCGAAATCCGCCTGTCTGTATCTCCTGACTTGCGACCCCATACAGAGCCCGCATGTTCACAGGACACCCGGCTGTCTTACACAATCACCAGGTGAAGACGAGAAAGGGTGGTAAGTTCATATTCCCATCTGCTCCGCCTATTACTTATTACTCAGCTACTGACAGAGTTATAGGATATGGCAATCTTAGTTAATTATGGAGCAGATTGCTCTCCTATTAGACAAGAGACGTCCCCTAAGCCTCATAATAGAGTTACATACTGCAATAATTCAAAGCGTTAGCCTGATAATGGCAAACGGCACCATGTGACATGAAGACATGATAGAACTTAATCTATTACGTAATCAACCCTCGTAACCAATAAGATGATACAGTCTGGTGGATAGAGTTGAAAAGGCCGGAAGAAAGGAAAGCCCTGATTTGCTCCGGGCCTCAAACATGGTGTTCGGAAATGAATAAACACAGATTCACGCTACCTATTGAGATCGAGGGGATATGAAGCCCAGCTTTGGTTTTAATCAGCGTCACCCCAGACAAATGTTAGCGTCATTAATAGTACCAGAACTACCAGCACTCAGTTACATTGCCCGGTAGTAGTGGTAGAAATAAGAGTAGCAGAACTAGTAGCATGGCATGTTAAATTAGCCTGTTTCTATCGCAATCTACAAGGCACCGCAAAAATAGCTGAAAGGTGGCATGCTCGGTCGAAAGATAATTTTGCCGTCTAAATTCCTCTTGGTCGTCCCGGTCGCCCAAGTCATCAGGAAGGACGGTACCCCGTCAATCGCAAGCTAGATACTGTTGTCAGTCAAAATTAGCCTGAAAATGGCAAATGGTACTGCGTTGCAACCTAAAGACATAGTAGAACTTGAGCTATTATTACCTAACGCTTCTTTAACCCCTCAGCTAAAATATTTGCCCGATATAGGTTTCGGCTGCTTACTGGCTACAAATTTCCTACATGCGCACACAAGGTCACATTTTGGTACAATATTTACTGGTCTTAGCGGGTATGATTGCTAGAATTAGCACCCTTAGCATTAGTATATTATTTCTAGCAGCAGTATCCTAGCCCTAGTAGTGTAAACTTAATAGCAACTGACACAGCCGATCTTTGCCATGCCAGCCCTTGACGGGTTAACAGTGGTTCACTGATTCCCGTGACTATGCATGGTAATGCACGGTACATATTCGACTATTATTAAATAAACGTTTCTTTAACCCTTCGGGTTACTATAATCCTGATATAGTTTACGACTGCATAGTAGGTTCAAATTTCCTACATGCATACAGGCCGCATTGCAGGGTACGAGTTACTGGTCTTAGCAAGTAGTATTACTAGAATAAACACTCCCTGCATTAGCACACTACTTCTAGCAGCAGTATCCTAGCCGTCGTAGTCTAAACTTAGGAAAAACTTATAGAGTTTTGGTGAATAGAAGTAGGAGCGTTGAAACTAGGGCAAGCACTGATGTGCTCCGAGCCTCAACCATCTGTTTACTCGGAATAGCATAAATCCTGGTCCCCACTTCTAGTTGAGATCGAGGGAATATGGGCCCAGTGCTCACTATAATCAACATCATTTCTGATCAATTATTGTCAGTAATAGTACCCGTACTACTATCACCCAACTACCCTTCTAGTAAGCAGTAGTATGAATAGTAGTAGCAGAAGTAGCAATATCGGACTCGGTTTCTTTGAGTATTTCTGGACACCTGCTGAAGGTAAGTGATGATAGGTAGTACAGTAGTACAAGCGCAAAAGGCTACTGCCGCTTAAGATCAAGTTAGGTTGTGTTTATGGCCTACATTAGAGAAAGTGGCTTAAGCTTGATTCACGCTCCGTCATCTTGACTCGGTTTTGTCGCCGGTTCGAGCGAGATGAGGGTTCAGGGTGTGGTAGATGACTGCGCTTTTACTTTCACTATACCTGACTACAGTCCCCGTTCCTGCTCTTTGAGCATATGGTGAACTTCATCGAAATCCATTGTCGAACTATCAGTAGGCCAAAACAATCTTCACCACCACCATCGACTCAGTAGACAGTTTTATTATTTATTACTTAAGCCTGTCTGTGGGGATGCCGGCGCCCTCTTTCTTGTCATCTGTGGAAACCTGACTTTGTAAGTAGGTGTACAAGGACGTAGCCGATGTGAAGAATCAAGTGGTGGCAATGACTGTTCAGGTATTGAATATGAATGTAGGGTTAACCGACATGAATTCACGGTCAGCATCCCTCGAATAAGTCCATTAACGATCTTTCTGAAAATCTGATAGGAAAAGAGGTGACTTCCTAGCCGAGCAGAGACTTGCTTTCAACAGCAATATGCAGCAGATGCAGGCAACACTCGTGAAAGTCAGTTTTAACTTGTAGAGGAATACAACCGTCGTCAGTGTCAGGTCTTTGTCCCTGAACTTCCTATTATGCATGATGGAAGGCTATGAGTACCGAGGAAGGGTTCGCGGTAGAGGCGGTATGTGTGTTGATATTTCATTAGTTTCAGATCGATTCTCTGTCCGTGTTAGGCTGTCAATATGAGGCAGTTTTCATCCGAAATCTGCTGACTCTCATACTAGGCCCACAGCTTTGACATACATTCTGGTGGACTGAGATCGTCGAAGGACAAGCCGTCATTAATTGCCTGTCCGCTGTTCCTGATCCTCAGGAGTAGGTATAATCAATATTAACTGAGCCGCATGGATTCTATTGGACAAAATAACCGGTATAATAACTGCGGTATTGGTTAAAAATAACACGTTTCCATGGATCGAAGAACCGGTATGGAGGGCAGTCGAATCTCCGACGAGATATTCATCAGGCACCAAAAGTTTCCATGAATTAGCATCCACACGTACTCAGGTCCCAAGTATCCACCGATCCCTCTGCGCGACCCCAAATATCCTCACCGAAAGAATCGGCAAGAGAGTGTAGCGACCTTGTACTCTAACAACTGCATGTCCCACATGTCTTGTTTTCGTGTGCGCCAACGCGTACGCACCGGCAGTGCCAAGGTCATTCTCCGTCTGGCTCACTGGCCACCCACTTCGCAAGGCCAGTGTAGGGGGAGTTATTAACGCTCAGTCACTTCCAGAGCCGACGATTCACTGTTCGGTTGCAGACTCTCTGGACTTCGGCTCATTCATGGCTGGCCTGCACTAGTCTGGAAGTCACTTTTCTATTGCTTACATACTACGCGTGTTCCTACCTTAGTAAATTCTCCCTGACACTATGGCCTTCCACGCCTTATTCTACTCAACTAGCTTCTAAATGTTGGGATACGTTCTCTCGTCTATTATCTGCTTGGACCACACCGTATCCCGTAAGAGCTTATAATATTACTGCTGACATTAACCTTGCATAGTTATATCTTATTGTAGTAGGTAATGATTACTATGCATCATCAATTATTTCCGTTTTTCTCGCATAACTTTTGTCTTTTAAGGCGTTTTTCCTCTGCGGGAACTGTCAGCGGCCAGTGGACATGGGCCCTCTTCTTTAATTCAGAAGCTATATAAACTCCATTGACTGATAAATGGAATTTTATACGAATATTTCTAAAAAAACGTTTCTTTGCACACTGAGACGGATCCTTGAATTCCGCAATAGCTACCAATAACCAACGGTCATCTGCTTTGTTGACTTCACCGCTGCGTTCGACTCCATCCGTCGTGACTCCCTCTGGTAAATAAAGGCATTTGATGGTGTACCATGAAAAACAATCACCATGATCAAGGCATACTACCGCTCTACCGGCATTCGAAAGGGCTGTTTCCTGCCGCCCATCCTCTTTAAGTACGCCACTTAATGGGTTCTCGGGAAGGCCCTCAGTAAAATGACGGTATTGAGCTTGCACCCGGACGCAGGTTTACTGATCTCGCCTATGTTGATGATATCGTCTTACCTTTATTTTATTGGAAACGGCTAAGAGGGAGTCAATTCAAAACCTGGCTCGACTCAGTCCGTAAGGGCATGGAAGTGGCCCTTGGACTTTCGATATTCGGTCTCCGGCGCTGGAGAAGAGACTGAGTGGAAGTCTCCATCTCCGCTGCCGCCAAGCATCACGAATGGAGAGGTACCGTCCGTGACATCATTGAGGACGGCTAGATCAGGTATGCTCACAGACGTAAAGAATACAAGTACTCAATGAATGTTTTTTTTTAATTTTCCTTCACTTTTATTTTATGCGAGCAAGTAAGTGCGAGCGAATATGTACACGCTTATACGTCACTGCAGTTGATGCTTAGAGGGAGGTGCGATATGCTATACATACTAAGATGGCCGACAGCCTCCAAGACTGTAGTCACAGTAACGAAAACGGACGAGGGCAAAGACTTGGGAAACATTTTTTTCCGATGCCATGGCCAAACGGCTCGACCGTGTAGAATACCCCACCATAGCCATGCTAGACCTTCGTTAATCGCTGGAAGCATAAATATGCAAATAAAATTACCTAAAAACCACAAAGCGAAAGCGCATAAGTGACTGTTACATTTCCGAACACTTACCTCCTAGACTTTGAAAAGGGTTCCCTGGGATTTAAGGGCTGCTATAACGTGCATTACATATTTACGATATCTTCTTTTCAACCGGTTTCAAACTCCGATTTTTTTTCGATTCCAAATAATAATATTGACGATCACGGAGGATTCCCCTAACCTCGTCATGCGCTCTTACTTTCATCGATCAACAAAGAAGTATCTTAGGCGCTTCTCTTTTATAACCATCGCAACAGTTAATGCCCTTTCTTCGTTTGAACTCTAAACGGATTCTCACTGATCGCGCTTGGTTCCTTATACCTCGCCACCTTGATGGTTGTATCCGCTGTCATCGCAAAATATCGTGCTTTAACCTACAGTGAAAAGTCTCATTCGGGTAAGGATTTTTAGCTTGCTGAGAAAAGTTTCATACCCCTATATACCTGTTCCTCCATTGTTGTTCTCTCCATATTTATCATCCCATGAGGGGCAGTTTTTTCCTCAGTGAATACTCATTAAATCATTTTCATTCTGTTTTTTTTTTCAAGGAACGTTTTATTGGTTTTTTTCACTGTCCGCGAACAATTTTTCATATCAGATGGCCTACTTTTGGTCGAAGTAGCCTACAGTAAGAGAGCTGATTGTTAACTACTCAGAGACAGTCCACGTTTACTATCATCTTTCACCTAGCTTGGACCAATGTTCCTACAATTCATGTTACAAAAAGTGCAAAAACATGGTGTATCAGTAATAAGGAACGTCGCGCTCGCCCCCTCAAATGATCAGGATCGTGAGGTCTATAGAGCTTAACTACCTATAAAGGACTACTTAGCATCTTGTTGGTTAACTTGCAAGGTTACCTGTGTTATTTCAA